CCCTGCTTTGATATTCACATTTACATATCAAAGCTATTAATGGGACACATCCAGTCTGACTCAGTTAGCATCATTAACACGGGAACTACAATTCACAGGTAACTGCTTTTGCTGTTATATATACTTTGGATTCTATAATTTCCACTCCAAATCATCTGATGAAGTGGGTTTTTCCCACGAAGAAAGCTCATGATATAATATATTTGTTAGCCTCTAACATGCCACAAGACTGCTCATTGTTTTTAAACAGTTCCTAGTTCACACGAATGTAATTCTTTTCAAATAGGACTACATTCATGTGACCCAGGAATCTTTTAGATTTTGCCTGCAACGTCCACACAGGAAGTTATAGCAAGTACTTTGGTGCATCCTGCTTACTTCACCTTTGTAGTCTGAACAGTGAGGCAATTTAGACATAACCTTAGAGTGGGGGCCACATTTATCCCTTAAGTAAGAGGGCGCAATATCATTTCTCAAATTGTTTTCACCTGCTTACCCCACAGCTGAATTTGGCCCTATGCATAATGCCAGCAATTCAAAAATAAAATAAAATGTGACTACAACAACTACTTGTAAACATTCATTTGACAAATGAAGTTTTATTTCTATAGTAAAACAAATTTATCCTAAACACATGCTGAAAACTAAAAATAAGTGGTATGGCAATTTGTATAATTATATTCCTACAGTACAGCTATTTGTGTAGTTATATTTCTGTGCTTATATAATCATATATAGCACAGTTACACAACAAGTAAAAAAAATTTTCAGTAGTACTGGTAAAATAATTACTATATATAATGTACACAAAGAGAAAAAAGCAAAACAAAAAAGCTTGAAAGTATGAAAAAGCTTGTAAAAAGTGAACAAAGATACAAAGCTAACTTGATAACCAGGATTCTTTTATACTTCAACAAGAAGCAGAGTCAGAAAACCTATATTACCAATGAAGGAGAAAATGTGATTGTATAAGATGGGATGGAAGTTCTATATCCAATATATTTATTCTCAATGGCCCCTGGGTACCTTTTAATTTTGCTTTTTATTAGTAGCATTTGTGGTGCAGTATGTATGCAGATAGAATCTGTACATAAATCTAAAAGATTGGGAAAGGGGAAATGTTAACCAGACACTGGTAAACAATAACGCAAGGAATGAGGTAAGCTCACCACTCAGACACTTTAAGATGTATGTAAATGAATTGTGAAATGTTTAAAAAGTCACACCAGCTGGATGGAAATATCTTGAAATGTCAGCATTGTGTAGTTCACCATCTGTGTATCCCCATTCTTTTTCTATTTTAAGGATTCCTTATGTTAGAGAGAGAAAAATGACTCTTCTGTAGTTCAAGTGTGCCTGTGAAAAGGTGAAATGGGATTTTTTAAGTCTATAGTAATAATACTTAGCACCTTTGTGGACTACTTTTTTCCAGCATTTTTGCATACAATTATTTATACATAAATAAAATTAATAAGACAGTAATCACCATGAAGCAAAGATCTACACTTTATTTCCCCAGCTCTTATCTTATAACAGAGGACAAAATTGGATGCTACTGCAATTTGAATGCAAGATGGCAAAAACTGGCCTGAGAAACAATTGCCAACTTTCTTTGTAATGTAAATTATTCCACTCATTGTGATCACATCATTCTGGGGTCAACCTTGGGAAAAGTTGTGGATGTATCCACATTGCTAAGCAGGTTGTTATGCCTCGAATGTTATTTCTTACTGGAAAAGTAAAATCAAGAATATTTATGTATTTTTATCCAAACAAAATTTCCATGATTATTATTTCACATGTACATTGCCTCTACCAGGCAAAATAACAGGTTGGACCCCATTGTGCTGGGCAAAACTTCAAATATCTTGCCTATTTATAAATAGAGCTCCAAAGAAAAATGCATACAAAGAAGGGAAAAGAGAGCCGGAGACAAAGGAGAAACTGAATTTTTCTTTCCCAATAAAAAGTAACATGATGTAGAAAATGTTTTATGCTTCATCTTCTAGCCAAATCTTATTTTTGTATGGGATAAACCTACTTCAGAACTGTACCTATTAGACACATAAGTTTTGGTCAGAGGAAATGTTTATTTTGTAATAATTGTCCTTTCTCCAAGAATATTGAAAATGAATTGGATGCAAACAACAGAAGCAAATATTGAAAAAGGGATCTCTTCTGCCTAAGGAATTCAGTAGGCTGTTTCATACAATTCAGAGTGGGGAGAAAATAAAAAAAAATAAGTACAGCCATACTGGGTCAGAACAAAGGTCCATCTAACCCAGTGTCCTGTCTTCTGACAGCAGCTAATGCCAGGTGCCCCACGTGGAATGAATAGAACAGATAATCATTGAGTGATCCATCCCCTGTCACTCATTCCTAGCCTTTGGCAAACAGAGGCTAGGGCTAACATTCCTGCCCACTGATGGATCTATCCGGCCTTCACATCATCTTCTGACAAGGACTTCCACAGGTTGACTGTGTTGTGTGAAAAAAATGCTTCCTTTTGTTTAAAACTTGCTGCCTATTAATTTCATTTGGTGATCCCCCTAGTTCTCATGTTATGAGGAGTAAATAACTTCTTTATTCACTTTCTTTACAACAGTCATAATGTTATAGACATCTATCACATCCCCCTTTTAGTCATATATTTTCCAAGATGAAAAATCCCAGTCTTATTCAGCTCTCCTCATATGGAAGCTTTTTCATACCTCCAATGATTTTTCTTGCCCTTTTCCCAACCTTTTCCAGTTCCAACATGTCATTTTTGAGATAGGGTGAACACATCTTCACCCAGTATTCAAGATGTGGGCATAACATGGATTTATATAGGGGCAAGATGACACTTTGCCTTACTATCCATCCCTTTCTTAATGAGACCCAACATTCTGTTCATTTTTTGACTGTTGCTGCAGGTTGACTGTATGTTTTCAGAGAATTATCCACAGTAACTTCCAGATCTTTTTCTTGAGTGGTAATAGTTAATATAGACCCCATCATTTTAAATGTATAGTTGGGATTATGTTTTCCAATGTGCATTACTTTGCATTTATCAACATTGAATTTCATATGCCATTTTGTTGACCAGTCACCCAGTTTTGTGAGATCCTTTTGTAGCTCTTTGCTGTTGATTTGGAACTTAACTATCTTGAATAGTTTTGTATCATCTGCAAATTTTGCCACTTCATTGTTTACTCTTTTTTTTCCAAATTATAATAGAGATGAAATTTTAACCAGGGCATCTCTTTTTTTTCACTTCAGGGAAAGTTGCCTATTATCTATGAATTTCTCTTTAAAACTTTATTTTGATAGTTCTTAGTTGAGTGCGGGTGGAGGTCTGGCTCACTGGAGAGAGCCAGTGATAGACGTGTTTTCATTTAATTTCACTTTTATGTTGGTGAATCATGTTGAATTCTGTTTTAAGGTAATTAAAACATAAGAATGGCTATACTGGGTCAGACCAAAGGTCCATGTAGTCCAGTATCCTGTCTTCTGACAGTAGTCAAATGCAAACTGCCCTAGAGGAAAAGAACAGAAGTAATCACCAAGCGATTCATCCTCGTCACCTACTTCTAGCCCTGACAAACAGAGGCTAGGGATACCATCCCCGCCCGATCGCAGTTGATGGGAGTGTTTAGCTAGTGGGGTTTACCCCTCTATACTGTGAAATATATATTTGCATAGACAGTGTACCCCTCTTCAAAGCCCTTAGTGACTGTACTGGGAGAGGCAGCGCTTTAACGCTGCGCTAACTATGGGTAACCTGGAAAACGCCCCTGCTTTCTCTAGCGACTTGCAGCAGAG